AAGTGGATCTCTTGTAGACAGCATATATACAGTCTTGTTTTTATATCCATTCAGGCAGTCTATGTATTTTGGTTGGAGCATTTAATCCATTTACATTTAAGGTAGTTATCAATATATGTTCCCATTACCATTTTCTTAATTGTTTTAGGTTTGTTATTGTAGGTCTTTTCCATCTCTTGTGTTTCCTTTCTAGAGAAGTTCCTTTAGCATTTGCTGTAAAGCTGGTTTGGTGGTGCTGAATTCTATTAGCTTTTGCTTGTCTGTAAAGGTTTTATTATCTCTGTTGAATCCGAATGAGATCCTTGCTGGGTAGAGTAATCTTGATTGTAGGTTTTTCCCTTTCATCACTTTAAATATTTCTTGCCACTCCCTTCTGGCTTTTAGAGTTTCTGCTGAGAAATCAGCTATTAACATTATGGGAGTTCCCTTGTATGTTATTTTTTGTTTTTCCCTTGCTGCTTTTAATATATTTTCTTTGTATTTAATTTTTGATAGTTTGATAAATATGTGTCTTGGCATGTTTCTCCTTGGATTTATCCTGTATGGGACTGTCTGCGCTTCCTCAACTTGATTGACTATTTCCTTTCCCATGTTAGGGAAGTTTTCGACTACAATCTCTTCAAGTATTTTCTCAGCCCCTTTCTTTTTCTCTTCTTCTGGGATCCCTGTAGTTCAAATGTTGGTGCGTTTAATGTTGTCCCAGAGGTCTGTGAGACTGTTCTCAATTCTTTTCATTCTTTTTTCTTTATTCTGCTCTACAGTAGTTATTTCCACTATTGTATCTTCCAGGTCACTTATCTGTTCCTCTTCCTCAGTTATTCTGCTATTGATTCCTTGTAGAGAATTTTTAATTTCATTTACTGTGTTGTTCATCATTGTTTGTTTGCTCTTTAGTTCTTCTAGGTCCTTATTAAACCTTTCTTGTATTTCCTCCATTCTGTTTACAAGATTTTGGATCATCTGTACTGTCATTAATGTGAATTCTTCTTCAGGTAGACTGTTTATTTCCTCTTCATTTGTTTGGTGTGGTGGGTTTTTACTTTGGTCCTTCATCTGCTGTGTGTTTCTCTGTCTTCTCATTTTGCTTAACTTACTGTGTTTGGGGTCTCCTTTTCGCAGGCTGCAGGTTTATGGTTCCCGTTGTTTTTCGTATCTGCCCCCAGTGGGTGAGGTTGGTTCAGTGGGTTGTGTAGGCTACCTGGTGGAGAGGACTGGTTCTTGTGTTCTGGTGGATGAGGCTGGGTCTTGTCTTTCTGGTGGGCAGGACTGCATCCTGTGGTGTGTTATGGGGTGTCTGTGACCTCATTATGATTTTAGGCAGCCTCTCTGCTAATGGGTAGGGTTGTGTTCCTGTCTTGTTAATTGTTTGGCAAAGGGTGTCCAGCACTGTAGCTTTCTAGTCATTGAGTGGCACTGGGTCTTAGGGTTGAGATGGAGATCTCTGGGAGAGCTTTCACCATTTGATGTTATGTGGAGCCAGGAGGTCTCTGGTGGCCCAATGTCCTGAACTAGGCTCTCCCACCTCACAGGCTGAGGCCTGACACCTGGCCAGAGCACCAAGACTGTGTCAGCCACACGGCTCAGAAGAAAAGGTAGATAGAAAAAAAGAAAGAAACGAAAGAAAGAAAGAAAGAAAGAAAAGAAAAGAAAAGAAAGAAGGAAGGAAAGAAAGAGAGAGAGGGAGGGAGGGAGGAAGGAAGGAAAAAAATAAAGTTATTAAAATAAAAAAATTTTTTTAATTATTAAAAGTAAAAAAAAATAAAAAAGTAATTAAGAAAAAAAGAAAGAACTACCAAACCAAAAAACAAATCCACCAATGATAACAAGCAGTAAAAACTATACTAAAAAAAAAAAACAGGGCAGACAGACCCTAGGACAAATGGTAAAAGCAAAGCTATACAGACAAAATCACACAAAGAAGCATACACATACACACAAAAAAAGAAAAAGGAAAAGATATATATATATAAATAAATAAGGAAGAGAGCAACCAAATCAATAAACAAATCTACCAATGATAATAAACTCTAAATACTAAACTAAAATAAACATAAAACCAGAAACAAATTAGATGCAGAAAGCAAACCCCAAGTCTACAGTTGCTCCCAAAGTCCACCGCCTCAATTTTGGGATTATTCGTTGTCTATTCAGGTATTCCAGAGTTGCAGTGTACATCAAGTTGATTGTGGAGATTTAATCTGCTGCTCCTCAGGCTGCTGGGAGAGGTTTCCCTTTCTCTTCTTTGTTCGCACAGCTCCTGGGGTTCAGCTTTGGATTTGTCCCCGCCTCTGCGTGTAGGTCGCCCGAGGGCGTCTGTTCTTCGCTCAGACAGAAGGGGGTTAAAGTAGCAGCTGATTTTGGGGCTCTGGCTCACTCAGGCCGGGGGGAGGGAGGGGTACGGAATGCGGGGCGAGCCTGCGGCAGCAGAGGCCAGCATGATGTTGCAACAGCCTGAGGCGCGCTGTGTGTTCTCCCAGGGAAGTTGTCCCTGGATCATGGGACCCTGGCAGTGGTGGGCTGCACAGGCTCCCAGGAGGGGAGGTGACCTGTGGTCGCTCACAGGCTTCTTGGTGGCTACAGCGGCAGCCTTAGCATTTCGTGCCCGTCTCTGGTGTCTGTGCTGATAGCCGCAGCTCGCGCCCATCTCTGGAGCTCGTTTAGGCGGTGCTCTGAATACCCTGTCCTCACGCACCCCAATACAATGGTCTCTTGCCTCTTAGGCAGGTCCAGACTTTTTCCCGGACTCCCTCCTGGCTAGCTGTGGCGCACTAGCCCCCTTCAGGCTGTGGTCACACAGCCAACCCCAGTCCTCTCCCTGGGATCTGACCTCCGAAGCCCGAGCCTCAGCTCCCAGCTCCCACCCGCCCCAGCAGGTGAGCAGACAAGCCTCTCAGGCTGGTGAGTGCTGGTCGGCACCAATCCTCTGTGCGGGAATCTCTCGCTTTGCCCTCTGCACCCCTGTTGCTGCGCTCTCCTCCGTGGCTCCGAAGCTTCCTGCCCCCACCCGCCACCCCCGTCTCCGCCAGTGAAGGGGCTTCCTAATTTGTGGAAACTTTTCCTCCTTCACAGCTACCTCCCCGAGGTGCAGATTCCGTCCCTATTCTTTGGTCTCTGTTTTTTCTTTTGCCCTACCCATGTTTATTTTTCCTTGGATTGAGACAGATCATCAAAGCAAAAGGGAGTTTCTTGCCTTTTGGGAAGTCTGAGGTCTTCTGCCAGCATTCAGTAGGTGTTCTGTAGGAGTTGTTCCACATGTAGATGTATTTCTGATGTATTTGTGGGGAGCAAGGTGATCTCCACGTCTTACTCCTCCACCATCTTGATGGTCTCTTCAGCAGTAGGTCTTTTACCTGGAAGGTTCTTTGCTTGCTGCTTGGCCATGGCCACGTTTAGAAATAAAAGCTTGGATTGAACTGCTCTGTGTGTTACCGAGTCAAAGCTCACTCTGCTCGCCGCACAACAGGCCAATGAATTGGAGACAAGGTGTTGAGGCAAGGAATACAACTTTATTCAGAAAGCCGGTGGACCAAGGAGATGGCGGACTAGGGTCCCCAAAAAACCATCTTCCCATTTGTTTATTTTTGTTTTTATTTCCATTACTCTAGGAGGTGGGTCAAAAAAGATCTTGCTGTGAAGGCAGTGCAGTATTTTAGTTGTCTCTGTCTTTCCAAGAAGATTGTACACTAATTGAGGGCATGGATGATGTCTTATTAATTTTTTGCGTCTTTGACCGTGTCTTAACTAACACATACTAGGCACTCAATAAACACTTGCCAAATTTAATTTACTTAATCCAGGAGTTAGAATATAAAGATTTAAATTCTGCCCCATCTTTAAGCTACTGTGAGTTAACTTAATTGACCTTTGATTTCCTCATTTCTAAAACATGTAAGTTTTGCACTGCCTACTTCCCCTGTATAAGAATCTAAAGAGAGAATGTATATGAAGTACTCTTTAAAGGTACAGAGAGCTCTGATAATATGAAGTTACATAATAATTTTGGTTTGTGCGCTCTATACCTTAGAGGAACGGTTGGTTCATTCTGGATTGAGGAGAGCGAACAGTACAGCGTGGAGAGCTAGCAGTCAAGAGATACTGGTTCTGGTCCTGATCTCCTTTAAGTTCTTTGGGTCTTATTCTCCTTTTATCTCAAATGAGGAAGCGCAGATCAGGTTATTGCAACGGTTCCCAGCTTTGGCGATATATTAGAATCACCTGACACTGAAAATTGCAACTCGCATAAACTTGATCTAGTTGGTCTGGGATGCATGCTGGGTCTCGAGATTTTTTAAAAACTCCCCTTGTGGAACCAAGGTTTTATTATTTTAAATTAGCAAAGCCATCTATTCAGATAAAATTTTACACAAGAGTCCAGGTTACAAAACACATACCAGTAGGGCTTCTGCAGTCACTTTTTTAGGACTTTAAGCTCTGACTACCAATTCCTTTTTCTCCTATCCCATTTTAGAACTCCTAAGGCTTCACAACATAATGGATGATGAAATGTGTGGACATAGTAGAATGGTGGATTTCATCCTGAGCTCAGTGCCAGCTCTATCAAAGAGGAGCATCTGGGCATTCAAGGCTTTAAATTATACTTCTTCTGAATTATGTATTTGACCACAGTTCTCAGTTACTGCCATAGATGCCCACTTGACAAGCACCTCTTCATCTGGGGCCAAATCTATAAGAGGGATGTTGCAGAATCATGGTCAAGAGGAGTCAGGCAAACAGGGATTCAAATCTCTATCACTGTGACTCCACCACTCTGTATGACCCTGAGCAAGTCACTTAACCTTCTTAAGCCTCATGTTTTTCATCTGTGAAAAAGAATAATATCCTCTTTTTAGGCCCAGATGTTAGTGAAAATTGAACAAGGTGATCTACATAAAGCATGTAGTAAAGTGTCCAGCACACAGTAAATTTAGATAAATTGCATAGGTATTATTATATCAGCAGGGCCTGAGCTAACTGACAAGGAGTTTTTGTTTTATTCTTAGGTGATGTTTCTCTGAGATGAAATACATAAACCTTTTATTTCAGGTAAGTGCTCAGTTCATATCTGCTGAGATATCCCAACTTCAACAATCAATAATAGTATTTGCTTAGTACTATACTGTACCATGTTCTACCCACAAAGCCAGCTTCTAGTCTCAGAGCATTCATAGGATTGAACTGAAGCTCACCAAGAAGTTTCTTACAATTTTGGATTTCCAAGAAACTTCTTAGTGCAAGACTCAGACTTGACTTCCCTCTGACCTGGCTTGAGACTATTTTTGCAGCAAAGGTGGGAGGAAAAAAATTATAAAGTTGAAATTATTATAGAAAGTCTTTGGTTATGACCACTGACGGTGTTAATTCACATTTGAGAGTAATGTTTCAGTGTTCTTTTTAGAGGGCAATGAGAGGGATGTTCTACCTAAAAACTTGAGGCAGGCAGGTAAGTGCTTTAATTTTGAAGGTATTTAAGAGAGAAAGCGAAAGGTCTGCTATGATAACCATGGTGGAAGTGTCTTTAGGAAAAGCTAAAGGTGAGAGAGTGTTTCTCATCCGTGAACTTTCAAGGGGAAATAGGAATAGTCCAACAGAGACTTTCACTGGGCTAACGGAATTAACTGGGATTATTGATATTATATAAGATGAATCATGATTTGAATATTCCTCGTAACATTCTTCCTTTTTCCATGTGAGCTTAAGGTAAGATGATCAAAAGGGTCTTGTTGAACTTGTTTCTCTTATAGAGGTCCAACTTAATAACTAATTTCTTCAATCCCAGGCCATATACTTTGCATCCTTAGTATGATAATTTATCATATTAATATTAGTTTCTGCTGTGGCTATTTTGGAGAAAGCTTGGACTTTATACCAAGGTCTGGAACTAAACTCTTCACATAATTCCAACCAAATAACTATTGATTGTTGTGTGGGAGGGTTCTCGCCAACAGAAGGAAAACCTCTCGTAGTTCGTTGTGCACATACATGCTTTTAAAGAATTTGAAAAACAGTGAAAGAGTGATGGGATTTCCAAAGAGCGTGTGTGTTTGAGGAGGAGACGAGGTTGCTTTTGGTTTAGTAAAATAAAATCAGTTCCACTTGAACTACATCTGTTGTTATAATTTTAAAAGCTGAGCTTTGAAGGATGGATGGATGGATGGATTTTAGCTAAATAGAGGAATATGAGGGTTATATAAAAGAGAATTAACCTGCGATTGAGAAGGGAGAGTTGTTAAAAATTTCACATGAAACCTTATGTAGTTTAAACTCTTTTTAAACTTATGTATACTCAGTGTATATGCAAGATGTTATATACATTTACCCACATATTGCCATTAATGTCTGCACTGGTGGCTCTCCAAATCCCATGCTTGAGTTTATGAAGGAAGGACCTTTTAGTACTGGTGTTCGATTTGACCGTAATTCTTCCATAGGGAATTTTACCCTTCTTGGCCTATTCATAATCTGTTCTTGTCTCATGGTGACATCAGCACATTTGTGCCTTTACAGACATCCTATCTGGTTAAGATCTTGAGATATCCAGGCAGATCTATGCCCATCTTTGTCTTGCTCGCTTTGTCTTTATTGGAATCTGTAGTATTTACCTAAACACATTTTTAGGGCCGAAGCTGTTTTCCTTTAATGTCCTTTAATGTAGGCTGTTGGCATAGTGCCAAAGCATTGTTCAGTAAAAGCCATTCTGAGCTTGGGGCAGAAAAATTTGATTGAGGTAAGGCTTTGATGATCTGTCTCAATCCAAGGAACAGCAAGTTTTAGAGTACATAGAGAAAGATTCTCAGCTCTTCTCTTTTTTAAATAACAAAGCATATTAAGAATCTTTTAAAAGCTTAGGACCCCTCCCCAGAAAAAATGCACAGGTATAGACAATTTTAGAAGATTCACAAAGTTTCTAGAGCTCATCTGTTGAGCCTTGGCTTAGAAAACAAAAAAACAAGCAAACAAGCTAACTCATCCCAAGAAGTAGATAAGCTGTATATCCTTCAAGCAATTCTCCATAAATATTGTTTCCCAAGCTTTTAATATATATTGAACATCATTAAGTTTAGAGTTATGCCTGCAGTAAAGATAGTCTGTATTCTAGAATTGTGTGCTTTATTTCTCAGATCTTTCTTCAGGGGGGTCCAAAAACAGGACCCAAACTGGGAGTCTTAGAAACAGTATTGGATTAAAAATAAGTGGACTGACAAGAGAGCTCCAAGAAAAGGGGAACCTTAGTCTGGGTAAAGGTGAATGTTGAGGGACTCAAGGAGTTCCAGGCCCAGACAAAGTTCAGTCAGGAAGGTTGAGTTCAAAGCACTAGGCCGGGGATCAAAGTGGACCTCATAGAATTAAAAGACTAGCAACATGGGGCTTCCCTGGTGGCGCAGTGGTTGAGAGTCCGCCTGCCAATGCAGGGGACACGGGTTTGTGCCCCGGTCCGGGAAGATCCCACATGCCGCGGAGCGGCTGGGCCCATGAGCCATGGCCACTGAGCCTGCGCGTCCAGAGCCTGTGCTCCGCAACGGGAGAGGCCACAACAGTGAGAGGCCCATGTACCGCAAAAAAAAAAAAAAAAGACTAGCAACAGGAAACAGAATTTTTTAAAGAAATATTTTAATTATGGCAAAATACACACAACATTACCATCTTAACCATTTTTAAGTGTACAGTTCAGTTCAGTGGCATTAAGTACATTCACACTGTTAGGTAACAATCACCACCAACCAGCTCCAGAACATTTTTCATCTTTAAAACTGAAACTCTAGGACTTCCAGGTGGCGCAGTTGTTAAGAATCCGCCTGCCAATGCAGGGGATGTGGGTTCGAGCCCTGGTCTAGGAAGATCCCACATGCCCCGGAGCAGCTAAACTCGTGCGCCACAACTACTGAGCCCGCGTGCCACAACTACGGAAGCCCACTCACCTAGAGCCCGTGCTCCACAAGAGAAGCCACTGCAATGAGAAGCCTGCGCACGCAACAAAGAGTAGCTCCTGCTCGCCACAACTAGAGAAAGCCACTAGAGAAAGCCCGCACGCAACAACAAAGACCCAACGCAGCCAAAAATAAATAAATATATTTTTTTAAAAACCAAAAAAACTGAAACTCTGTATCCATTGAACAGTAGCTCCCCTTTCTCCCAACTCCCAGCCCCTGGGATGGCAACCACCATTCTTCTTTCTATGAATTTGACTAGGTGCCTCATAAAAGTAGAATCATACAGTATTTATCTTTCTATAACTGACTTATTTCACTTAACATAATGTTCCTAAGGTTCATCTATGTTGTAGCATGTCATAATTTCCTTCCTTTTTAAGGATGAATAATGTTTTGTTGTATATATCTCTATCTATCTCTCTCTATATATATATCACATTTTATTTAGCTATCTGTCATTGGACATTTGGGTTGCTTCTGCTCCTTAGCTATTGTGAATAATGCTGCCATGAACATGAGTATACAAATATCTCTTCAACTCCCTGCTTTCAATTCTTTTGGGTATATACCCAGAAGTAGAATTGCTGGATAGTATGCTAATTCTATTTTTAATTTTATGAGGAACCACCATACTGTTTTCCATAAGCAGCTGTACCATTTTACATTCTCACCAACAGTGCACAATGATTCTAATTTCTCCACATCTTTGCCAATAGTTTTCTTTTTTATGTTTTTTAAATTAATTAATTAATTAATTTTTGTCTGTGTTGGGTCTTTGCTGCACGCAGGCTTTCTCTAGTTACAGCAAGCAGGGGCTACTCTTTGTTGCGGTGCGCGGGCTTCTCATTGTCGTGGCTTCTCTTGCTGTGGAGCACGGGCTCTAGGCGTGCGGGCTTCAGTAGTTGTGGCACGTGGGCTCGGTAGTTGTGGCTCACGGGCTTTAGAGCGCAGGCTCAGTAGTTGTGGTGCACGGGCTTAGTTGCTCCGTGGCATATGGGATCTTCCCGGACCAGGGATCGAACCCGTGTCCCCTGAATTGGCAGGCGGATTCCTAACCACTGTGCCACCAGGGAAGTCCTCTATGGGCCTTTAGGATGCTTCCATGGCCTGGCTATTGTAAATAGTGCTGCAGTGAACACTGGGGTGCATGTGTCTTTTTGAGTTATGGTTTTCTCCAGGTATATACCCAGTAGTGGGATTGCTGGGTCATATGGTAATTCTATTTTTTATTTATTCTATTTTTTATTTATTTTATTTCTATTTATTTATTTTTATTTATTTATTTTATTTATTTATATTTATTCTATTTTTTATTTTATTTTTCTTAAAAAATAAGAAAAAATTCTTATTGTTAAGGAACCTCCATACTGTTCTCCATAGTAGCTATATCAATTTACATTCCCACCAACAGTGCAAGAGTGTTCCCTTTTCTCCACACCCTCTCCAGCATTTATTGTTTGTAGATTTTTTGATGATGGCTATTCTGACCAGTGTTAGGTGATACCTCATTGTAGTTTTGATTTGCATTTCTCTAATAATTAGTGATGTTGAGCAAAACAAAACAAACAAAACACCATGTAGATGGATATTCATTGCAGCATTCTTTATAGCCACAAAAAAGTCAGGCAGTAAGGAAATGGTTAAATAAATTATATCTACTTTAGAATTAAGTAGATACATGTTTATTTTCATGGAAATGTTTCTAAGGCTTACTGCTGAGTGAAAGAAGTAAATTACAGAATAATAATATATGATCCCATTTGCGAAAAAAAATTCTGAAACTATGTACTGTATTTGTATAAATGTGTGTAAATGCAAAGAAAAAGTTGTAGAAAGATGAATACCAAACCATTAACAGTGATTGCCTCTGGAAGGGGGAGTGGGTTGCAGTGGTGGATATTGTGAAAAGGGACTTTAATGTTTTACTTTATACACCTCTGTCTTGTGTGAATTTTTTAAAACGAGAATGTACTAATGTATTATTTGTGGAAAATAACTTTTTTAAAGAGAAGAAAATAACCTGAAATATCTCATGGCCCCTTACTTCTACATAAAGACAGGGTAATCTAATTCTCACTGTGTGTAGAGCCTCAGTCCCTAGGCTTTTTGGAAGGT